GCCGTCCAGCCGCGGCGGTGCTCCTCAGCCTGCCTTGTCACAATGCCAGCACGCGGCAAGGCATCGCCCCCGCCACCCCCGGCCCCGTGCGATGGCCCGTGGGAGATTCTGCCGGATCCGCCCGCACCGACTCCTCAGCCAGGTGTCGACGTGGTCTTTGAGCAGGCTCACCTCGAAGACATCCGCCGTACACCAGGGATGGGCGGCAAGACCGCCTGCCAGTGGCAGCGCGCGCTGCGCGCCGAGTGCATTGTCAACAACTTGTCGTTCAAAGACGTAACAAACGACCCGTCCTACGACTGGAAGCAACTGCTTCGGTCTGCCGCTCCGGGTTTCGCTGAGCGCATAATCGGGCAGGGCATCGCCCAGGTTCTCTTTCGCATCATCGAGACAGAGCGCGACCCTAACTACTCCAACACGGATGGCCACGGCAGGCACTTCTTCGAGTTCCGTCGTGCAGACGGTTCAGCCATGCGCCTGCATTACCATAAGAACGGCCGACCCGATGAGCCCACCTATGTCGGTCCACCACGCGCCGTTGCTCAGCCTGCCGTGCCTGAGCCTGGCGCTGCTCAGCCTCATGTTCCTCGTGGCGGCGCTGCTCAGACTGCCGTGCCTGACGGTGGCGCTGCTCAGCCTGCCGAGACTGGCGGTGATGCCCCACTGCTCTTCACACAGGAGCACCTGCAAGAGGCAGCCTGCTCGCGCCAGATTGTGGGCCGCGACGAAGCCAGCGCCGCTCTCCAATCGCTGTTGCACTACCACCATGGCGAGACTGCCCCAGGTGCTGTTGACATCACCGATGGCTCAGCATTTGACTGGCTTCGATGGGTGGCACATATCGAAGGTGCGCGCGACGTCATCCGCAATGGCGTCCACAGGGTCTACGCTGTCCGCTGGAATCCGCACTGGGCTCCAGAGGCCGTCTTCTGCTACGGCAACAACACCTACAGCACACTGGTGCCCCGCAAATCGCGCTACACAGGCTCGTGGAGCCACGCGCGAATTGTGACTCACCGGAACGCCAATTGGGTGACCGAACCGTTGCTATCTGCGGCCCCTGTGGCAGCTACGCCGTGGCTGGTGTTGCGGGATCAAATAACCTGGGAGTGATCTCTGGCAAACGAGATGTGGTGCTTCTCAGCCTGCACTCATGTGACACGCAATGCCGTGCCCTGCAATCGCGTGGTGTTTCTCAGCCTGCACTCGCAGGTCCTTCGGAGGTCAATTGTTATGAGTTCGGCACGGTCTCGGTCAAGTACAGCGTGCTGTGGGGATCCCGAGATGGGGCCTGGCTCAAGGTGCTCAAGACGTACTGGAGTGTCCCAGAGCCGGAGTGCCAGCTGATCCTCGGGAGTTGGAACGGCATTTTCAGGCCGTGGCCGGACACGTTCTGGATCAGGACGGGGGGGTCCGAGCCCGAGATAGATGCTAGCGCTCTGCAGTACAAGTGCTTTTCAGCATGCGACATCCTGCGGTGCTTCTCAGCCTGCAGGGTTCGCAGCGTGCGGTTTGCAATGCATTCCTTTTCAGTATGCGAGTTCCTGCGGTGTTTCTCAGGTTGCAGGGCTCCGAGGCTCTTCGCTTCGATGCCAATGTTTTCAGACACCGTAGCTCCGTTCCGTAAACATCTTCCAAGAGCCGCTCGCAACCTTTTGCAGCTGGCGGTCTGCAGACGTAGTCTGTCTCAGCATGCGAGCTCCCGCACGCTTCGCCGGCTTTTGCTGCGCGGACAATTTTCTCACACACGTCAGCGCCGTTTGTAGGCGTCAGAAAAACATGTAGACATTCACGAAGGGCTCAGTCTGTATATCGTCACATCATTACATACGCAGTCGTCGAACACATCGGTGTACATTCAGCGCTTTGTCCTTCTAGCTGGGTCGCTTCGTGCTGAGGCTGAGGCTGATGCAGGCTGAGGCTGAGGCAGGCTGAGGCTGAGGCCGAGGCCGACGGCAGACTGAGGCTGAGGCTGAAGCAGGCTGAGGCTGAGGCAGAGGCAGGCTGAGGCTGAGGCTGGCTGAGGCAGGCTGATGCTGAGGCAGGCTGAGGCTGAGGCTGAGGCTGATGCAGGCTGAGGCTGAGGCAGGCTGAGGCTGAGGCCGAGGCTGAAGGCAGACTGATGCTGAGGCTAAAGCAGGCTGAGGCTGAGGCTGAGGCAGGCTGAGGCTGAGGCAGGCGGAGGCTGAGGCTGAGGCAGGCTGAGGCTGAGGCTGTGACTGCGACTGCCGTTGCCACTGCGACTGTCCTCGCGAATGCGACAACGACTGCGAGAACAGCAGAATTCTACAACTGGATTCTCATCCGAATCTTAAGGGGAATGCTTCCAGATATGCTCCTACACATGGCTGTTAGGTTGCTTTGCCGGGATAATTGATCTTTCCCCCAGGGGGGAGGGGCGGGGTGCGAGGTCTGCTGCGCCTCCTCGTCTCGGGGCAGACGCCAGGGGTGGGAAACGCAAGCGACTGCACAAGCAGAAACACCTGCGGAGGTCCGCGCCGACCTCTCGGTTGGGCGCCGGGCCCCCCGCCTGGCGGCGCCTCCGTGGAGGGGAGGGTCCAGCGCCGATCCAAGCACTTCGCGCGGACCTTCGAGCGTTTCTGCTCATGCTGCTTCGTTATCCCTCCAGGTCTGGAAAGGCGGCGAAGCACAGATCCGTATCCGCTGCCTCGCGCGCCTGGCCTCAGGTCCGGCGTGTCCCCCTACCGGGGGGTTTTGGACGAAAAGTCAAAAATACCCCAAACATGTTCCAACATTGTAAACAAATGGTCCAAACATCGTCCCCAGACTATTGTTTTACTATTTTGGAATATTCCCCCTGAAGGGGCAGGCCCGACTTGAGCCTGGCCCCTGGGCCGCGACCCCGCAGACACGAAGCTTTTTTATTTTACGCGGGGGCCCCGCGCAGAAGGTATCCGTGCGACCGCGCATCCGCGGGGGCGCGCCCCGGAATCCAGACCGCGAGGGCGTGCTGGGCGCGAATGTATTGGGGGGCGATAGCGTGGGGGGGATGGCGCCGCGCACATTCGTTTTAACAATTTGCCAGAGTTCCACGGATTGAGAGCGGGTCGTTTTAAACATGTGGCTCTCGCCTTAGCGCCGCGCACATTCCTATTGCGTTGCAGGCGGGTGTCTTTCAAGATGTTGCTCTCGCTTCAGCGCCGCGTGCATTCTCTCTTTTTTTCGGTTTGCAAGAGCTGCACGGATGGAGGGCGGGTCGTCTTCAAAGTGTGGCTCACGCGGTAGCGCCGCGCACATTCGTTCGAAACATGTGCAAGAGTTTCGCAGATTCAGGGCGGGTCGTTTTCAAAATGTGGCTCCCGCCTTAGCGCCGCGCACGTTCGTTCTCAAGCTTGGAAAGAGTTTATTTCACCGAGGGCGGGTCGTTTTCAAAAGGTGGCTTTCGCTTCAGCGCCGCGCACATTCGTTTTAAGAAATGGCAGGGGTATCACGGATTGAGGACGGCTCCTTTTCAAAACGTGGCGCTCCTCAGCGCCGCGCACATTCGGTTTTACATGTTGCAAGAGTTTCACGCGTTCCCATGATCAACGTACCAGAAATTGTGTGTTGGAAGGATTCAGGATTATAAGGGTGCAACAGTTACGTTGATTCGCGGTCTTGAGGTCCCATGAATGGCGTTCTGGAGCGATTCAGTATCGTCAAGACGCAACAGTCAGGTTGAACAGTGGTGTTGGATCCCCGAGAACAATGTTTTGGCATGCGTCAGTGTTTTCAAACGGTTGTCTTCCAACGAGGCAGTTCCCTCAGTGGAAATGAACCGTTGTAGAGGCCTATGAAGCGCGAGCTTGGAAGGAGCGTTCATTCCATCATCTTTGACGATTCTCGGGTTTACACTGGTCCTCCTCCTCCTCATCCTCTGGCGACCTGTTTTTTTCAGTCCAGGCAATCTCCCTCGATTTCGGCGCTCCGGGGGTTGTTTTTGAGCCACGGGGGCCATCAGGCCATCAGGCATGGATCTGGGACGGGAAACCACCCCCGGGGGAAGCGGTCGGGACCTCTTAGGGCTGCAGGTTGACAGATCGCATCGGCGGACGCCGATGCTGGTCGTCCTGCTCTCCCGGGTTTCTTTTGTGCCTCTCCTCTCGTCCAGCGTGGCAACAAGCCGGGGCGCGAATATGGTCGCAACAGGTTCAAAGTCGTAGTATCCCGGTGTTTGGGATTTTTTGTGGGGTGCCTTTGTGGGCCACATTGTTCAATCAAGCTTGCAAGTGATAGCGCAGTGACCGAACAGGACGAGACGTTGACGGTTTCGTCGTCCCTCTGTTTTTATGCCAGGTCACAGCCACGGAAATATTTTGCAATACCTCTGCGTGACCATCTCGCATTCTTCTGTTGGAGCCTTGAAGCGCCTTAGGCAGAAGCCCTCTCAGTTACCCGCAAGGAAGTTGAGAAAGTCGGCGTTTGCCAGGACGGTGGGTGTGGCCCTGATAGCGCGCGCCCACGCTGAGACAACCCACGGGCTACGGCCGAGGTGCCGAGGCGGATGTTTCGGCTGGCGCTGACGCCGACACTGCCGCCGACGCCGAAGCGGGATCTGAAGCTGACTTTGGGGCTGGGGCTTAGGCTGAGGTTGAGGCTGGCGCTGGTGTTTGGACTGGGGCGTGGGCTCCCGCCTGGGCTGGGGCTGGGAGTATGGCTGAGGGAAGCTGGGACTGGGGTCGTGGCTGCGGGTGGCGCTGGCGGCAGTGCAGGGCTTGAGCCATTTCCCCTCGCCCTCTGCCGCCGCCTCGTTCCTCTCCGCCTCCACTCTCCCTCACTCTCTTGCAATCTCCTGCTTCCTCCCACCTCCCTTCGCGCTCCGCGCACCTCTATCCCCCCTCCCTCTGTCCCTCCGCCTCGCTTCAGCTCCTGCTCCACCCTCCCTAGCTCCCTTCCAGCCGCCCGCTTCCTCCCTCACTCCGTCCTCTCCGTCTCTCACCGCCCCCCCTCCGCCGTCCCCGTGGCGTCTCTGCGGCGGCCGCGGCCCTGACAAAAAGCAGGACCTGGAGACGGACGCCGGCCTCCGCAGCGCTGGCGACGGCGCCACGACGACGGAGGCCGCTGCCGTGACAGGGATTGCGGAGAGGAGGACGATCAGGAGGAGGAGGAGGAGGAGGAGGAGGAGGAGGAGGAGGAGGAGGAGGAGGAGGAGGAGGAGGAGGAGATACCGATATTGCTGCCCTTGCCCTTCTTTCGGTTTCCTGGGAGGCCCTCGTCGCCACCGCCAGGTCCTTTCTCGAGATTCTTGTCAGACGCACCCCGGGAGAGGACTGAGGAGCAGCGATATCGGTATCTTGTAGCTTTTCTTGTGCATAGACAGACTCCCCAGGTAATTTCGGCTGGCCTCAACAGGCCCCCCAGGTAGTCCTAGCTGGCATCAACAGGCCTCTGGAGTAGCCTGGTGTGTGCACAACCCGAAACTTTACCAAGGAGGGGGAAGAAGGGCTTTCGGAGAGGTCCTCCCCCTTCCTCCTCCTGGTGCTCCACCTGCTCGTTCCCCCGTTCCTCTTCCTGATCCTCGTGGTCTCTTTCATCATCTGAGAAGTCCGTAGCCGTTTTGGCTCAAGTCGTGTCTGTCCAATGCAGGCGCCCCAACGCACTAACTGCCACTGATGCCCATGTTACTGATGGCGCACTCGTAGCAGGTGGGTTGTAGTTATTTGCTGTCATGCTGGGACACTGGGCCATCCTGCTGTCACCAGCATGGACTTCTGCGTCTGTAATGCCTAGATTGCATCTCAACCTGACAGTCGAGGGAAGAGATACGCCGCTATATTGGGACCCGCAGACAGAAGACGTAGCTATGGCAGTCCGAGAATTTAAGGACAACTACGGCATGGGCGACCCCACAGGTGTCGACGCGGAGTTCGAGTTTGAGACTGAGATCCGGTTGCGACTGCTGAGGGCAATGGTGGCGTCGCATGAAGAAGCTTGGGGATCGGCCCGTCCGCTACCCTTGCAGGGTGGCTCTCCGCTCAAGCCCGCGCCCGTCGCCGACAGGGGGGCCACGCTCGCACTGTACGGGAACCACGACGCCAACATCGCGGTGAGCGTGAACGGCCGGGTGCAGTGCATTTCGGGCGGGGAGGTACAATGGGGGTTGACCCGAATGGGGTGTGGAGAAACGCATTCTACAGGGACCCTTGGGGCCCCTTTGGGGCCCCTGCTGGCTCCCAAAGGGGCTGGTTCTTCTCTTCACCCCCCATTCAGCTCCTCCTCCTCCTCCTCCTCGTCCTCCTCCTCCTCCCTCCTCCCTCCTCCCTCCTCCCTCCTCCCTCCTCCCTCCTCCCTCCTCCCTCCTCCCTACTCCTCCTCCTCCTCCTCCTCCTCCTCCTCCTTCACCCCGAATTTACACCCGCCCGAGCATTCTGGAGCTGGAGCGCCTCTTTGGGGTGCGGTACTTCATGCCCCCGCGCGACGACCGCGCGGCCCGCGCGGCGTGGCTGGAGGCGCTGCGCGCCGCGCGGGACCGCTGCCCGTGCGAGGGCGGCCCCTGCCCGCGGCGCTTCGAACACGGCGTGGTCGTCATGCCCATGCCAGGATGCCACTCCTGGGAGGCCCTCGAGCCTCGATCCTCCTCCTCCTCCTCCTCCTCCTCCTCCTCCTCCTCCTCCTCCTCCTCCTCCTCCAGGATCCTCGATCCTCGACGATCCTCGATCCTCGATCCTCGATCCTCCTCCAGGGTCGGCTGGCTCTCGTATGTCCCAGGTGGAAACCTGGCCCAATCTGGCTTAATCCAGCTCAGTCTGCCCTAATCCTGCTTGCTCCGGCTTGCTCCCGCGTTAGCTGGTTTCGCCCCAGGTCACAAGAGGCACGCACACGCGCCGCTAACGAAACACCTTCGAGGCCGAAGCAGTGGCGCTCGAAGCAGGCTTAGAGGCGTTGCAGTCCGTGTGCAGGTAGACGTTCTCCCGCCTCTCCCTCCTTCCCCCCGTCTCCTCGCGCCACTCGGCATGCCAGCGTTGTAGCATAATCTTGTTATACCGTGCACCTCATGAGACTTGGCACGCAGGGAAAGACGAAGAATCGGGCTAACCCGCCCTTCGTCGTGCTGACGAAGGCCTCCCAGGAGTTGCCTCCTATCCCATGCCGGCGGAGCTGCCAAACATAGTGGAGGAGGTGTTCGCAGTGGAGCAGTGGCAGTACGTCGACCACGCGGAGGCGCACGCCTTGCTGGCGTTCCATGCCTCGCCCTTGCGGACGGCCCTTGTCGTCGTCAGCGACGCGGATTTCCATATCTTCTACGCGTCGCTCGGAGGCATACGGCGCCTTGGGAGGCTGGACTACAGCCTGGGCGTGATGTACATGGTCCTGGCTGGGCTGCTGCCAGAGGTTACTGGCAAGAGCAACGAGAAGATCTGCAAGTGGCCCGGCACTGGCAACCTCTTCGAGGATAGCTGGAAGACCTCCGAGGGGGACCGGGACCTGTCTTCTCTGGGATGGGCGGGGAAACTCATGGGATACGCCGCCACAGGGTCGCCGGACGAGGCCATAGGCTCTGTCGTGCGGGAGGCCTATGAGGCCTCTGGTGCGATGCCCAAATACGCCCCTGAGCACATCTTCAGCTACGGCCAGGGCAAGACGCGCCTGCCACACCGCTTCTCGGAGTGTCTCCAGACGATCTGCGCCTCCGTGGAGGGCCAGCAGGCGCTGGCGGCGTCCGTGCAGGCCGAGTTCGAGAAGATCACGCAGCAGACCGTCCTGCAGCTCGTGGAGCACGTGGGCGTCGAGAACCTGGATGGCGTCGTGCTCACGGGCGGCTGCGCCCTGAACGTGCTCGCCAACCAGAAGATTCGCGACGCTCTGCTGTTCTCGAGGAGCACAGCGTGACACAAACATACGACTCTTGATGGGCCTGTTTTCCACCACCACCACCATATGTTGGATGGGGGGAAGGAGGAGGAGGAGGAGGAGGAGGAGGAGGAGGAGGAGGAGGAGGAGGAGGAGGAGGAGGAGGAGGAGGAGGAAGGAGAGTAGGGAGGAGGAGGAGGAGGAGGAGGAGGAGGAGGAGGAGGAGGAAGAAGAAGAAGAAGAGGAAGAAGAAGAAGAAGAAGAAGAAGAAGAAGAAGAATAAGAAGAATGATAATAAGAAGAATAAGAAGAATAAGAAGAAAAATAAGAAGAAGAAGAAGACGAATAAGAATAATAAGAATAATAATAAGAAGCAGACGCAGAAGAAGAAGAATAAGAAGAATAATAATAATAATAATAAGAATAATAAGAAGAATACTAATAAGAATAATAAGAATAATAAGAATAAGAATAATAATAATAATACTAAGAAGAAGAATAATAAGAGTAATAAGAAGAATAAGACGAACAATAAGAATAATAATACTAAGAAGAAGAATAAGAATAATAATAAGAAGAAGAATAATAATAAGAATAAGAATAATAATAATAAGAAGAAAAATAATAATAATAATAATAATAATAATAATAATAATAATAATAATAATAATAATAATAATAAGAAGAATAATACTAATACGAAGAATGATAATAATAATAATAAGAAGAAGAAGACGAATAAGAATAATAATAAGAAGAATAAGAAGAAGAAGACGAATAAGAAGAAGAATAATAAGAATAAGAAGAAAAAGAAGAATACGAATAATAATAATAAGAAGAAGATTAATAATAATAATAATAAGAAGAAGAATAATAATAATAAGAAAAATAAGAATAAGAATAAGAATCATAATAATAATAAGAATAAGAATAATAAGAAGAGGAGGAGGAGGAAGAGGAGGAGGAGGACCCCCTCCCCCTCCAACTTATGGTGGTGGTGGTGGTGGTGGAAAACAGGCCCATCAACTCTCGGAGGTCCGCGTGGAGTTCTTGGAGATCGGCGCTGGCGTCCGCCCTTCGCGTTGCCCCTGGCGCGCTCCGCGCGCCGGGGAGCGGGGTCCAGCGCCGATTTAAGAAGCCCTCGCGGAGTTCCGAGCGTCTCTGCTCCTGCACTCTCTGTGCTCCTCGGTGCTCAGCGCCGCGCCCGGGTCCTCGGAGGCCGCGCGGCGCGACTTGCGGCTGTGGGTGCCCCCGTCGCCCAACGACGGCGGCCTCTCTGTGGGCGGCCTGTGGGCTGCAGCGCCGCCCCTCGCGCAGCAGCCGCTGCAGTACCTGGGCTTCCGCCTCTGGGACGAGGACATCCTCGGAGGCCCGGAGGTGGGCACCAGCGCCAACATCTGCGGTGTGTACTCGTCGAGGGGAGCTTCGGAGAAGAAACGACGCCGTAACCATATACTTGTGGCGCTCCGCGCGGATTTCTTAGATCCGGGCGGACCTCCAACAGTCTATGTGTATGGCGTTTTTTGTTCTTCTAAAGGTGATCCCGATCTCGGTGATGGTGGTGATATTCAGGCTTCCTGGGTTCGAGGAGCAACACTTGTGACATAACCATCAAGCCACCAGGTGGCTCCAGTGCCGATCCCAAACATCCGCGCGGACCTCTTGCAGCTTATGTGTACGTCATTGTTTGTTCCTCGATCCGTGGCCGAGATATGACCCCCAAGGCCACACGATCTAGGATCATCATCTTTCCCCTAGTGGAGGCAGCTCCCCTGTGTTTGTGCAGGGCTCGAGATGAACGATCTGATGGCGATCTCTTGGACCGTTTCCGTTTTGACCTCCTTTCGCAGAAAAGGCGGAACGACGACATAATGGCAAAAACAACGAGCACAAAACGAAAACGGAGAACACTGTTTAGCTCGAGCCCTGGCCCCCTGTGTTGGTGCAGGGTTCGAGCCACACGGCGTCTTGGCGATTTCGTGGACCCTTTCCGCTCTGATCTCCTTTCGCAGCACAGGCAGAACGAAGCCAGAACGAAGGAAAAACGCATACAGTCGGGGCGCTGAAGAAGGAACCCTTTTCGTTGGGGAGGGGCTCCGTGTTGCATGAGCTCCGTGTTCCTTGATAGGTTTTCCTTCGGTTTTCGATGGGGAATCGAACTTTAACTGATGGGGAAAGGGGCCTCGTTCCTTATTTAGGGTTCCTTAGGTCAACGTCCCGACTGTGCAGAACGAAAACGAAGAACGCTGCTCAACTCGAGCCCTTGCCCCCCGTGCTTGTGCTGGTGCCCATCCCCGAGCCTCCAGCATCCTGGAGGCCGCTGCTGCCGAGCGGCAGGCCGAGAGGCTCAGCGCCCTCGGCGGGGTGGAGTATCCCGTGGCCTTCGGCCCATCCCGGCATCGCGCCCAGGCTGCAGGTCAGAGGCCATCTCCAGGCCTCTTAGGAGGGAGGAAGACACACGGGCACAACTAGTCGTCGAAGCCCAGGAAGACATGGGAAGTGGGGGGATGACGAAACACCCAAAATATTGGAAACTATGGGAACTCGTGTCTATTTGTGTGTCCCTGGGCCCCTTTGCTCTTGGATGCCCGAGGGTCCTTACGAACCTTACATCTTATTTTCATCACCACAGGCACAGCCTGCAGAATTTCGCTTTCTTCCCAGCGGGAGCGCGCTCCTCAGCGCTCGCCCTCTTCCAGAGGACCGCCCCGCAGCGGGCCCGAACGCGAGCCGCATTCGCGCTCGCATTGTGGCACTCCACTTCGTGCTGAAGGCACGATGGCGGATCTGGCGGAGCTGCTGGCTGGCGGGCCCGCCTGGCAGAGGGAGGCGAACCGGACCTCGGACAAGCCCATCATCGCGGTGGTGCGCGGCCGCCAGGAGTTCGGGCCGCGTGCCCTGGGCCACAGGTCGCTGGTGGCCGTGCCCGACTCCCAGTCGATGAAGGACAGGATGAACCGCCTGAAGGTCCGGCAGTGGTACCGCCCTGTGGCGCCGATGATCGCGGAAGAGGCGCTGGAGGAGGTCTTCGGCGAGAAGGTGGAGTCGCCCTACATGACCATGGCCCCGCGCGTGCGGGAGGAGGTCCGCGAGAGGTTCCCTGCGCTCGCGCATTTCGACGGCACCGCCAGGCATCAGTCTGTCAGCCGGTCGGACGAGCCCTGGGTGCACGCGCTGCTGCTCGCGGTCGGCAAGCTCACGGGGCTCGCCGCGCTCATCAACACCAGCTTCAACACAAAGGGGAAGCCAATCTGGAAGAAAAGCAAAAGTGAATAAGCACACGCACTTTTTTTCAAGGTCCGCGCGGATTCCTTGGAATCTGCGCTGGGCTCCCGCGCCAGGGAGGGGGGTCCAGCGCTGGTCCAAGAAACCCGCGCGGACTTCCAAGCGTTTATGTTTATGCAGTCTTTCTCTTCTTCCTCCATCGTAAACACCGTGCGGGAGTGCTTGCAGATGCTGGACGAGCTCGTGGACCTGGACTTCCTGGTCATCGAGGATTGGATCTTTAGGAAGCGCGGTCCGGCTTCCTCATCTGAAAAGAGCCTTTGACCGCAGAGCTGCGCTTACCCAAGGTGACCGACAGCTTCCCCCCGCCCCAAGTGCGCACAGCTGCCTTCTCGCGAAAATAATAATTTTCCCTAAGTCGGCTTTTCCTGCGGTGTCCTGGAATCATCTGGCAGGAGGGCCAGTGGCGGTGTGCACGCCAGGCTGGGCCCTCCTCGGCTTACGCATCTTCGAATTGTTTGTTGTATCGAAAGATAGATAGAGATCTATATTGATATGTAGATATACATGCACACATATATATATATAGAGCTAGGTCTATATATCTATTCTTATATATATATATACACAGATATATCGATACATACATACACATATATACATATATCTATAGCTATACGCATTTATGTATATGCCGGCGTACCTGGGCACGGGGCCCTTGACTGGGACACTTTCACGGATTCCCCCTCTTTTTGAGCACCCACCTCTTGGGGGCTGCTTCCCAAACTTATATTTCTATGTTTGTCTGTCTGGTTGTCTGTCTGTCTGTCTGTATGTATGTATGTATGAATGAATGATTATATGTATGCGTGCATGTGTGTATGTACGTATGTATGTATGCATGTATTTACGTACGCACGTACGTACGCATGTATGTATGCATGTATGTATGTGTGTATATATATATATATATATATATATATATATATGCGTGCATGCATGCATGCATATGTGCACGCATGCATGAATGTATGTATGCATAGGTGCATGCATGCATGTATGCATGCATACATGTATGCATGTATGCATGTATGTATGCATGCATGTTTGACTTTGTGTGTGTATGTATGTATATATGCATGCCTGCCTGTATGTATGTATGCATGCATGTATGTATGCATGTATGTATGTATGTACGTATGCATGCATGCATGCATGCATGCATGCATGTATGTATGTATGTATGTATGTATGTATGTATGTGTATGCGTGTATGCGTGTATGTGTGTATGTGTGTATGTGTGTATGTGTGTATATATGTATGTATGCATGCATGTATGTATGCATGCATGCATGCACGCATGTATGTATGTATGTATGTATGTATCGATTGAGCTATGTAGGTATGTAGTATGTACGTTCTCAGGCATGTAGGTATGTATGTATGTAGGCCTGTAGGTATGTATGTATGTATGTATGTATGTATGCATGTATGTCAGTCTGTCTGTATGTATGTATGCGTGTAGGTATGCATTCAGATATACGCATTACATGTATACATGTGTATGCATATATACATATGTATACACATTTTTAGATATATACACAAACGTTGGGGTACCTGGGGACCGGACCCAGGACCGGAACACCCTGCCGCTTTTCCCACTGCCCTTGAGCCCCCCCCCTCCCCGCGGCTTCCCGGGCCGTCCCCCCTGGGCCGCCCCAACGGCCTCTGGGGGGCGCGGCTGCGCGGCAAGAGCGGCGCAATGGGCCTCAAAGGGCGGCCCGACCAGTCCCAAGCCGCCCAAGAGGCCCCGAAGACGGCCCAAGAAGGCTCCAATATGCTTCCCAAGAGGGCCCTAATTCGCCAAAATCGCTTCATTTCTTGAGGAGAACAAGCTTTTTTTGCACATGCGGATTTTGGCGTCTTAGCAGCGTCCAAGACGGCCCACGATGGCCCCAAGACGACCCACCGGAGCCCCAAGGCGCCCAAGACGACCCAAGATGAGGGAATTGTACCTGAGATTTCGAGCCCTCCGCCCGACGTGGACCCCGAGACCTCCAGCAGGACCCCAAGAGGCCCCAACAGCGTCAAAAGATGCCCCAAGAGGGCCCCAAACGGCCCCTTACGTCAGACGTGTTCAGATGACATCGTCACATTTGGGAAAACAGAGGAAAGCGTTTGGAGGATCATGCACCACATTGAAGGGACCTTGGGCCATTCACAAGCTTGCGATCAAACTGGGAAGCAGGGAGATTGTGACCGCGGCGTGCCAGCGTTATGAAACCAGCACGTTTATTGATACATGGGGGAACACATGGGAAAATAAACCAAGTATCCGCTTGCTGGGGCCTCGCATCCATGCGACAGGCAGCCCATGGGAAGGCACATCGCTCAAACGTTCGCCGCCATCAGAAAATCGTATTGAAAGAATGCGAAGTTCCTGTTGAACCAGCTGATCCCAATAAAGGATCGGCAAAGGATTTTTTTCGATGGCTCACAGGATTTTGAGAGCAAAGAGCTCTTCTTGGATACCAAATAAAGCAGTTTGCAAGCACATCGACAAGGAACAGAGGAAGTTTATTTAAATGATGTTGCGCCTTCATTTTGTTGGTGAGTTTACTGGGGAACAGATAAAGCGGAAGCGAAATAGAGACATTTCAGAAATTATCGACAGGCCATGGTCGCACATCTTCTTGACAGCAGTCGTATCTTGGTTGAGCCACGTCCAAGCACACCCAGAAAGTATTCTGCACCATGCGTGGAGAGAGAGAGAGAGAGAGAGAGAAACTGTGAATGGTTGCAGACAATGAGAGCGATCGCCAGAAAGAAAGGGCCCAAATGGAAAAGAGTGAACCTTCGAGCGAGTGCGGGTAAACCATGGCGGTGGGATGAAGGTTGGTCGCTCATCGTAAACCCGAGGTTCACCAGAGAAAAAGAGTAACTGTCTGACCTCGCCCACAAGCTATATCATCCTATTCATGGACAATAATCCCGTTGACAGCAGTGCTTGGGGAAGCAACGGGCCGTTCACAGAATGTTTGCCCCTCGTTTTCGCCAGTGCTTGGGAAACCAAGTACAGGCCGGAAGGAAATTCGAAGAGGCGTTTTAAGGCGTATACCCACTGCAGAGTCTTCATTCGAGGTGTTTGATTGCATGCCACAGGGCGTTTGGCCCGCAAGCACGCTGGCGATTTCGGTTGTGAGGGGACCCGCGTCCAAAGCGCGAGGAGAAACAACTGCCCTCACGATGCCCCAAGCTGCTCCGAAACTGGCTCCAAGACGTGCTAGAAAAGCATGCCAAGGGACCCCGACAGGTAAGCACGATTGGCGTGAGAGGTGTGCTGAACTGGTCGGGGGACAATGTGCGAACCTTGTCTCTGGGGTTGTGTGGGTAGTGCTCCCCGTGGGGCACGATCGGCGTGGCGGGCGTGCCGCGTCGGGCGGCAGGGGCGCTACGCGAACCCTGTGCCTCGGGCCGTCTGTGGAACTCCCTGTGGGGCACGAACTGTGTGAGGTGTGCGCCGGAGAATGGGCGGGGGGGCGGCCTGCGGGGCACGATCCGTCTGAGAGGTGTGCCGAGCTTCCCTCGGGTGCCGTAAGTGCAGCTACCTGCTGGGCACGATCCGATCCGCGCGAGGGGTGTGACGCTGTGTGACTCGTGTCTGTGGGGCCGCAGCGGTAGCTCCCTGTGCTGCACGATCCTTGCGCTGGGTGTGCCGAGATGGGCCGGGAGGCGCTATTGAGCCATGTTTGCCCACGTCTGCGCAGGTGCTTCCATGTGGTGATTGCGGTGGGATGGTGTGCGTGCCTATCTGCTGATGTACGACGGGGCCTAGGCTCGCGCGAAGCGCGCGCGTGGTTCTAGTATTTGTGTACATCAATATTATATTTCTGATGTGGAGTTCTTTTTTCTATTATACCCGTGGCTGGCGGGAAGGAGCTTTGAGCATTCATCGGTCGGCTTAATGTTATCGCTGCCCGTATTTGCGGTTTCGGTTTCTTTTCCCTATTCTGCCTCTGCCTCCGTCATCCTCCTATGCGCAGTACCTGTTTTTGTGACGTGTAGTTGAAGCCACTTTGAATCACCACAGAGGGAGTGTTGATCTTATCCCTGCAAAGCCGCAGAAAACTGCAAGCCAGTAGAAAACACACAGTAGCAGTGCTATGCAATGCACCGTTTCGCGCTGTATAGCATTGGGCATTTCGCTTCAATTCATAACACTTCAACGTATCGCAAAGGACCTCCGTGACATGGGACAGTTTCTTCCTTTTGAGGTCGGCTGCGTTCTCAGTCTTGCTGAAGTCACGAGTTTGATTGCAGCTTGATGCATTTCCTCGTGTTCGGTCGTGGAGGGTTAATTCACTACCCTGTGATGTCCTGTAATGGAGCGCGACGCGAGGAGGGAAACTGCAAATTCTGACTGTAGATCTCTCGTGCGCCGCAACCGTCTGCGGTCCTAACGGGCACGCGAAACTAGTATCGGCGCGTATTGTGCTTGCACACTGATGCTGTAATTACTACCACATCACTATGGTGTCGGGGGCGAGTTCCGACGGACGCGCGACGTTCGGTGGTCACCTTCAGGCCAGCATCTGCACGACAAGCGGACACGCCAGTGACGCTCGTGCGGGTGTGGGATCAACGAGCTCCACCAGTGAGACATGTTAAACATTGCGCGCACTTTTGGATAGGGTCCCATATGTGTGTCGCAGAAATGTTCCTTCGGGACAGTCCTCTTAATTGTCGCGCAGCTCCTTCGAAACACTTGGCATAACAAGTGGTGTCGCAATTCGTTGTTGCTCAGGGGCTGAATTGCCAATTGCGATGCCCAGTTCCTTGAGAGTTATTTGCCCCACAGTCTGCCAAGTAATGTGGCAGTCAGGGCATACCCATGTTGAGGTTGACGCTTCATTTCGTGAGGAACTCATGTGAATGTTACGGCAGACGGTAGACTCACATCCAAGGGCAGTTCCCATTTTGCGCACTGGTTCAAGTTGCGTCACACCAATCTGCAGTTCCAGGTTTGCAGCCAGTGAGCGATTGTGCGGACCGCGCGCGACAGGAGGACGCGTAGGGAGGGTGATAATCGAAGATGAATGAGGACGACGAGGATAAGGCAACTGAGGTGCAGGAGGAGGAGGAGGAGGAGGAGGAGGAGGAGGAGGAGCGGGACGAGGAGGTGGGTGTGGTGGAAGGAAGAGGGACGGAGGTAACGATGAAGGGGGGAGGGGGAGGGAGGAAGAGGCATGGGAGGATGGGGGAGGATGGGGGAGGAGGAGGAGGAGGCGGAGGAGGAGGGAGGAGGAGGAGGAGGACCAGTGGAAACCCAAGAGTCATCAACGATGTTGGAAAAACCTTCCCTCCAAGTTCCCTCTCTTCATATGCCCCTACAACGGTTCATTTCCACTGAGGGAACTGCATCGTTGGAAGACGACCGTTTGAAGACCCTGAAGCATGCCAGAACATTGTTCTCGGGATTCCAACGCCACGGATCAACCTGACTGTTGCGTC